GGGACAGCCCCCCGGGGTCCCAGTCGCAGGGGCCCCCCACTCCCCACCACCACCTGCGCCCGTGTCTCACTCAGCCCCTGCTGGCGCGCGGGGGGCGGGGTGCAGGCTCAGCCCCGGGGCTGGCAGCTTTCTGAGAATCACCCAGGCGTCCGTACAGGCTGCGCCGCAGGGCGTGATGTCTCTGGACTCAAAATACTGTGGCTTTTAGGGAGCCACACCCGGGCGGCCCCCACGGCTCCCTCCCCCCTGACCAGCACAAACAGGCTCGGCTTGGGGGGCACCACACCACAGCCCCGAGACACCACAACAGCACAACCCCCAGGACCCCCTCGCCTGCACCCCGCCCAGGAACCCCTTGTCTGCACCCCACCCCACCCTACCATGAACCCCTCGTCTACACTCCGCCCAGGGCCCCCTTGTCTGCACCCCACCCAGGAACCTCTCGCCTGCACCCCACCCCACCCCACCCCACCGTGACCCCCCTCATCTGCACCCTGCCCAAGGCCCCCTTGTCTGCACCCTGCCCAGAAACCCTTTGCACCCCACCCAGGGCCCCCTCATCTGCACCCCACCCAGGAACCTCTCGCCTGCACCCCACCCCACCCCACCCCACCGTGACCCCCCTCATCTGCACCCTGCCCAGGGCCCCCTTGTCTGCACCCCACCCAGGAACCTCTCGCCTGCACCCCCCCCCACCCCCCCCCCCCGTGCCCCCCCTCATCTGCACCCTGCCCAAGGCCCCCTTGTCTGCACCCTGCCCAGAAACCCTTTGCACCCCACCCAGGGCCCCCTCATCTGCACCCCACCCGGGAATCTCTCGCCTGCACCCCACCCCACCCCACCGTGACCCCCTCGTCTGCACCCCGCCCAGGGCCCCCTTGTCTGCACCCTACCCAGGAACCTCTCGCCTGCACCCCGCCCAGAAACCCCTTGTCTGCACCCCCCCAGGGACCCCTCGCCTGCACCCCCCCAGGAACCCCTTGTTTGCACGCCACTCCACCCCACCGTGACCCCTCCCCTGCACCGCACTCCACCCCTGACCCCACAGCCCTGCAGGCACCGGTGGCTTTGAAGGGGCCCCCACTTCCTGCCCCAGGCGCAAACCTCATCCCCACCCAGCAGGGCCCCACCACAGCCGCAGGCAGGGCCACACCCTGCACCCCGGGCGCCCCAGGCCCCCCAGGGTTACCAGAGGGACTTCTCCACCGTCTGGGTCCGGAACACCTCCTCCTGGTCCAGGTTCACGGTGCAGTAGCAGCCCCGCATCTTGCTGGGCCCCGGGCACGTGGGGAGGTTTTTGGCCTCACCTGAAAAGCGGGGTTACACAGCGGGGCTGAGTGCCGGCCCGGGCGCCCCCTTCCCCCCCCCGCTGCACCCAACGGTGCCACAGCACAGAAGGGCACGGGACGCAGCCTCGGGTGGGCCCGGGGCGCCCTTCACTGTGGCCTCCAGCTGTGCCGTGGCGCGGGGACAGACCTGCCGCCCACCCACTCCGCCTGGGCCTTCCAGGGCGGCCCCTCCACACCCGGCTGAGCCCCCCGCCCCTCCCCATGCCCGCGGCTGTGCCTGTCCGCCAGGGTGGCCAGCCCACGCCAGCCCCGTCTCCTCTTCAGGGCTAAATCATACTCCACCGCCGCGCCACGGCCCTTCCCCTTCCCCGCGGCCCGTGGTGTTAGAGCCGAGTCAGGGTGAGGACGGGGCGAGCGGAGAGCAGACCAGGAGCTCCCGGGCCAAGGCCAGAGCCACTGGCCTGCGGGGGAGGCCGGGAGCCGCCTGACGGCCAGCCCCGGGCACAGCGTGGCTGAGGC